CGCCAGCTCTTTCTTCTCTACTTCTCTTGTTTGTTCTCTTTTCTGGTTTGCATCTAATCTCAAACAGTTCCACACATCAAGTGGGCTGTTTTTCAACACTGAGAAAATTTTCATTTGGTAGGTATTATTATTCTCGTCAAATTCACTTGTTTCCGTTGTACATGGATAGTGAGAAGTGCTAATGCACTGGCAGATGGTCTAGCTAGGCAAGGGGTGAACAGAAACTCAATGTTTTGGGCTGTTTTGTAATTGTTTTATGAATTCGGGTTTATAGGGTATTTGGGAGTTAAGATTTTTTAGCTCCTTACCTTGTAATTCAGCTTTTCCATCTTATTAATAAAATTCACTGTTATTGATCAAAAAAAAAAAAAAGAAATCATTTGTTTCATGTTGCAACATGCTCACCACTATACGTCTTTATTGAACATTATGCTGGCAATTGCCAAAAAAAAGAAATCACTTTTTTCAACTTTTCATTGCACGAAAGAGCACCAAAGTCTTTGAAGCATGAAAGCCAGTTCTGGTAGAAAGGAAACAGACCCTTTTGAAAATAACTGTTGAGTGGGCTGATTTATGTTGGGCCAATTTATGTTTAGTTTGTCTTCTTTTATTTTAAGAAGTTGTCGGGCCTTGGGCCCATTAGTCTTTTATTTTTAAAGGAATTGTAAGTACTTAGTTAAGTTGCCGCCCTACTAGGGGCATCTTTGTAATATCCCATATTTAAGTTAATTATAAATAGAATGAGGGGCTGGCGGCTGGGGTTTATGATCACTATCCTAGTCGACCTTCTCTTTTCTTCCCTTTTCTCTGTCTATTGCTGAAATCCCCAACTTTCTCCTCTTCCTTTCACAAGAAGCTTGGTCGAAATCAGCACATAAGGCTTTCTACTATAACCATTTAGGTTTTAGGAGGAACTGAAGTAATTGTTAGTGCAGCCTGAATGTTGGGGTTACAAAGAATTAAATGCAGAAACAAATGAAACCTGCTATGAACCATAGATATTGTTCATGGTTAAATGCAGAATTAAATGTGGACACACACATGAATATGAGAAATGGGGATATGACTCCATTCCTACAATCTCAGATGCAGTACAGGTATCCCGTGTAATATGCATATCATGCCACAATTCCAAATTTCCAAGTAACCATGGGTTATTAAATGAACTTCTCCACTGATGTCAGACTGCCAGCTCCAATACCACTTGACGCCTGCATCAAGGTGCAAATCAGCTGACCCACTTTAAGAACTTCCACTGCATCAGTCCTAGGGCCCTGGTTTGGGCCCATCTTGGTCCACCCAATCGCATTCCTACTGAATATGTATCAATTTTGCCTTGCTGGTAATTGCTGATTATCTAGACTTTTTCCCTCTTTCAAATACATAATGAGATTACTTTAGATGTAGGGATGCAATCAATTTCTGGAACATGTCAATGAATAATATACCATTAGAACCAAGAGGCCTGCTGTGGACTAGTTTCCATCATCCTTCAGATGCTGGAAGCTAGCACCTGTTTCTGGCCATTGGTACATTCTTATGAGATGCAAAATGAGCTTGTCACTTTGGTAGTGTGGTATTCTGTTCCCTACATCCTGTAGCAATTGGGTGGCACAAGAAAATAGGAAAAAGAAAAGCAGAACTGCAGAAGTGGGCATACAAATGGAGCAGTCGGCATGAATTTGTAAAGAAGGAAAGAGTAGGAGTCAAATTTCTGTTTGGCTACATGTTATCATTGATATGCTGACCATTTTCTTCAACATCTGTGCTAATTAACAGATTTCTGTTTGCTGTAGGATTGTTTGCCCTGGGGAGGGCCTTCCTTCAGATGTTGTTCAAGATATGTTTAATAACAGCCAATGGGTGACTCAGGAAGGTCTAGGGTTGAGCATGTGCAGGAAGATTCTAAAGCTGATGAATGGTGAAGTCCAATATAGCAGGGAGTCTGAAAGATGTTATTTCCTCATTAAGTTTGAACTTCCTAGACCTCACAGAGGTTCAAAGAGTTTGGGTTAGATTTTATTCACCCATGAGTCACGAAACTTCAGACTGCTTCTCAAACTTGACCTGTTGCTGTCTTGTTACATCTACCAGGAGAGTTGCAAGGCAACTGCTTAAAAGGTTCTAACAGCTAGCATAAGCAGTTCATCCAATCCATGTCTGTGGTTTTTTAGGCACTGGTTTGAAGAAATACGAGGCCTACTACTGCTGCTGTACAAGTAGTAACTGATATCCTTTTTAGTCTGAAGTATGTATCATAGTAGGATTACATGGAATGGACTCTGTCCTCATTGAAGTGCACAGGGTGTGGTTGTCCTGATTCATTCATGGAGAAGGCCCCAGTAGGATGCGGTATATTTTCATGGAAGCCAACGCTGAGGCTTCCATGGTACACCTGAGTTGTTGATCAATGTGGATCATTACTTGTTTCCTTGTGCCATAACTGTGTATATCTAATGTTATTTTTCTGATGTTTTATTTGAATTTCAAAAGATGTGAGTGAAATTTTTACGGGCTTGGAGGATCTTTTTGGCTCTAACTCAAAGCGGCAGCTTCTGTACAATAAAAGGATCTGTCATGCTTTATTCATGTATGCAGCATCAACTCTGGCTGGTAAACTAATCCACCATATGTATTTATTTGATCATTTTTCTGTTCTTGAGCTTCTTATATGTCCATATTTATTCGGAAAAATGAAAAATCTGTTTACTGATTTCTTCTTTTGAAAACAAGAGCTTGGAGTTGGAGATAAATCCTTCTGTCCATGTAGTCCAAGGCTTACACAGTCCAACTTGAACCTGCCTTCCTCAAACTCATGGGCAAAGCGAGAGGTGAGAGCCTGGGAGGCTGAGAGGAGAGGAGGCTTACACAGTCCAACTTGAACCTGCTTTCCTCAAACTCATGGGCAAAGCGAGAGGTGAGACCCTGAGAGGCTGAGAGGAGAGAAGGCTTACACAGTCCAACTTGAACCTGCTTTCCTCAAACTCATGGGCAAAGCGAGAGGTGAGASCCTGAGAGGCTGAGAGGAGAGGAGGCTTACACAGTCCAACTTGAACCTGCTTTCCTCAAACTCATGGGCAAAGCGAGAGGTGAGASCCTGAGAGGCTGAGAGGAGAGGAGGCTTACACAGTCCAACTTGAACCTGCTTTCCTCAAACTCATGGGCAAAGCGAGAGGTGAGAACCTGAGAGGAGAGGAGATAGATACCAGTTTCTTTTCTTGTCTCACTTCTCACTTTTCGGTACGTGAAAAATTGTCCAAGTTGAAGTTGTGCTTTCCCTTAGCTTTGCTACTGTTGCAGGCTTCTTTCCATTACCTACGCGTACGGTACAGTGAACGGTTCTTTCGTTGCGTAACGAAAAACGAAAAATAAAATAAAATAAAAAGTAATAATCATCGAATATGAATTGCTTATCGATTACCCATCAATTATTGAGTTCGAATCGTCCACAGTTCTACTAATGGTACAGGTCAAATCATGAAATGACACGTCAGCTTTTTAGATGTGGATCTACCTATCCATGAAGGCTGAAGCTTCGAACTTGAAAGCCAAAGTATAAAACCCATTCCCATTCCCCCCCAGCATATCCCAACCGTGTTTTGGGAACATCTCCCACCGACAACTTCGAGAGATGTTGAGATGTGCATGTGGGGCGCAGATGTGATCTCACTATATTCATTCCTTCTTCTTCTTGGACCATGTCACACCACACGTATATGGTTCCGGGCCCACCATTTGCCACCTGTACTTTGTTTTAAGGGTCAACACGGTCCATGTCCATATTGAGTGGGTCCTATAATCAAGTGTCTCCTAACTAAGGGAACAAATGCAAATGCATTAGACTTTTTGTTGAGTAATAAAAAAAAATAGAATTCAAATGACTATCGTATGGTTGTTTGTAATGTTATGGGTCTTGCTGTATTGCAAACTTTTATACACCGTCCATTTATTTATGTAGTACTATGGACTATCGTAGGATTATTATTATAAAAGCTAGACTTTTGACCTTTGACACTGCTGATCTTGAAATTAGGACCCACCCGATGACATGGGATGGGACAGTGGCAGACTGGCAGGTGTCATGGGCTACTGGCCTATGTACGGGATCATGGGCCCTCTGTCCCCAGATCACATCCAGATTTAACCCCCCAAAACCAAAATAAGATGGTTTGTATGATATAATAATAGCTCGGCTTCACATAATCATACATATACACATCACTCACCCCCTATTCCCCTATTCCCCTAATCCCCTATACCCCATTCCCTTCCCGACATCCCGTGGAATGCAATAGAAATTTTGCATACCCTTGATGGGCAAAATCGTAGTTGCAATTAACGAAAAAGGGTGATCCACAAGCCAGTCCAACCTAGTGGTGAAGTGTGGGCTTGTGAAGTCAAGCCCGCCACTAGGTCTCCTCCAAGCATTACTACTACTACTAATTTCACAGAGAGAGAGAGAAGAGAGAGGTGGATTGTAGATTACGATGAGATGGAGATGGAAGTAACTTAATGAGAAGAAAGAGACCTAAGCTCAGAGAAAAAAAAATAAAAAGATCCAAAAACAAAAGGCACCACAGCACAGATCAGTAGAAGCGATGCAGAGAGATTTCTTTTAGAGATTAATGGAGAAAACAACTGCCACTCCTTAAGGAGACATCTGGGGTCGCGTTATCTGTGGTTCTTCTTCTGTGTATTCTTTTCTCTCCATTAAAACAAAGGACATCAAAAAGAAACGGAAAGAAAGCTACCGGAGAAGGCTATAAAAAAAAAGAGTTTGGTGATGCCAACCCAAAAGCTACCTCTCCATTTCAGCATCAGCAATACAACCAGCAGTACATAGAGATGTAGATCGTAGACAGAGACCCAACCAAGTCACCCCTCGGAATCTCTTTTTATCTTCTTAATTGCTCCTGCTGCTGCTATTACTGTCTCAGGGTTTTTCGTTGGGATTTTCTTATGGACACCCCTCCAGCAGAAGAGCTGCTCAAGAAGATCCAAGAGCTCGAAGCTGGGCATGCCCACCTTAAGCAAGAGATGTCGAAGCTGATGCTTAGCACCACTGGTGGCACCGACTCCAAAATGGACAACGGACATCAGCGCTCCCACTCTGTATCGCCCGAGAGATCTAGATTGGCCGCTTCGAGGAGGAAAAGTGGTAGTGTCTACGAAGGAGCTGCTTCCTGGAAAAAGGGTTCCTCGTCTTTCAGGCATTCGTCGCCGTTGCAGAGGGAGAACAGGAGCCATGGTGTTTTGAATCCGGGACAAGGTGGTGGGCCGGCAGCTGTCAAATTTACGGATAAGCAGTATCTGAATATTTTGCAGTCCATGGGGCAATCGGTTCATATATTCGATCTCAGTGGCCGAATCATTTACTGGTGAACTATTCTATTCTGTTATTTTGCAGATTTTTTTCTTGGGTTTCATGTTCAGTTGTCGACCTTTGCTTTCTCGGGGGATCGGGATTGGTGATTTTAGATTACAGTTGTTGTTTGGATTGAGTTTGATTGTCGCCTGTGAACACTAGTTGGTGGTGTTGATTAATTGATATCCTGCACTGCACGATATTTAGTAATAGTTTATATTTGTTTAGTTTTCTTCTTCAATTAGCCTCTACTATGTCTTTCTAACGGAGCTTAGGTTCTCGACCTGTTATGACTCCTTTATTTTTAACCACTTGTAGATGTTCAATTTGGCAGGAATAGAACTGCTGAGCACCTTTATGGTTATCCGGCATCGGAAGCCCTTGGTCAGGACGCCATTGAACTTCTTACAGATTCCCGCGACTCCGATGCAGCAAGTAGTATAGTACGCCGTATAACCATGGGAGAAAGCTGGACCGGCCAGTTCCCTATGAAGAAGAAATCAGGAGAAAGGTTTCTGGTCATTGCTACCAATACGCCATTTTATGACGATGATGGTAGCTTGGTAGGGATTATTTGTGTATCAAGTGATGCACGGCCGTTCCAAGAAATGCGGGTCCCCTTTTCAGGTCCGAGGCCTTTGGAAGGTGATTCCAGCTTTACGCGGCCTAGAAGTGACCTTCACCAACCTCTGCAAGTTGCAATTGCCTCAAAAATATCAAACCTGGTCAGTTTCTTTCTTCCTTTAATCCTTGTTAGTTGTTACTTCTCCAAATATTTCCTCTTCCCCAGGTGAGGATAGGATCCATAGTTTTGTGATTTCTTTTAGCGTAGCCAGCCTTTCTTGACTGTTAGAACCACAACAGGCTTCTAAGGTGACCAATAAAGTCCGTTCAAAAATTCGGATCGGTGAGAATGGCATTGAGCTTGAATGTGGGAGCGGAGACAGCCAGCAATCCGATCATGTCTCAGATGCAATTCTATCTGATCACAGGGAAGATGCGACTTCAAGTGGAGCTAGCACACCTAGGGGAGATGTGGCTCCATCCCCCTTTGGTGTATTTTCTCAGGCTGCAGCTGAGGAGAAATCCCCAGGAAAACCTATCAAAAGTGCTGGTGCAGAGAGTGAAGGGAAGCCTGGGATCCACAAGATGTTAACTTCAAAGGCAGAGTCATGGATTAATAAAAAGGGGATATCGTGGCCTTGGAAAGGTAATGATCGGGATGCACCTGAAGCAAAGGCCAACCGTTTTGTATGGCCCTGGTTGAATCATGATCAAGAAAATGGTTTGGGTCATCAGAAAAATAGTGATTCTAGTGGAAAGCCAGAAAATCAGGAAACTAACCGGCCTGGAAATAATGAGCCTTCTGGGTCCTGGTCCTCATTTAATGTTAATAGCACAAGTAGTGTGAGCAGCAGTGGAAGTACCAGTAGCAGTGCTGTTAATAAACTGGATATGGAAGCCGATTGCTTGGACTATGAAATCTTGTGGGAAGACTTGACAATTGGAGAACAGATTGGGCAAGGTAGTGATCTTTGCCATCACTGATATATATGATCATAGTAAATAATAAGTTGCTTAGGTCACTTCTGCTATTCTCTTTTTCCTTGATAAAGTGCATGTGTTAGATTTTTAAAATGTGCATTACTATCTTTTGCTAAATCTGCAACAGTTTTGCAGCCTGCTCAAACTCAGTCAGTAGCAAAAGGACTAGATTCTCATAAATTCTTCTCCTGGTTTAGGCAAATATATATTGATTTCATAAGTAGATTATTTATTATCTTAGTTCTTAAGTTACTTTTTTTTTATTTGTTTGAAAGGAAGTTTGGATTTTGATACTCCCGGGCATTGTTTTTTTAATATTAATTTGCACTGATTTTTGGTTTTCCACGCAAAAGTTTCTTGTACAACCAGAGGAACAAGTTTTACGCCTAAACAAATAGGAAATTGAAAAAGGAAAAAGAAAGAGTAGAGGAAACATTGGTTATATGCACAAAAGTCCCATACAACAAGATGTAAGAGTTTTCCTATCAAGTTCCATCTAATGGCCATTATATAGGAACATTTACCAAAGTAATAGTCCATATTTTTTTTGATGAATTAATAATCCATATTTTTAATGCTTCTCATGTTTCTGTTTTCATGGTTCATAACTTTGTCTTGTCCCATCATAATCAGATATTCTTTTTTAGGTTTTGTTCTGAATTTCTGATGTTTTTGCAGGTTCTTGTGGAACTGTATATCATGCTCTATGGTATGGCTCGGTATGTTTAGTTCTTCTATTTGGTACCTTCAATATTAGGAGGGAAAATCATATTATCTGCATCACTTGCACTTAGCTGTTTAAAAGCAGTGACTTTGTGTATGTTTAGTTCCATGCTTTTAGCACTCCTACTTCCATGCCAATGTTTAGATGGATTGTGTGCAAGCATACATCATTGCCTTATTGATGTTTCTGATATTGTGGTCTGAAGTCCTTCTAAATTTTAATGATCAGCCTTTTCCAGTTAATGGAAAAAGAATGGTGGTGTTCTTCCAATATATTAAAGGCTTTACATGATATCCACTTTTCTTGCAGGATGTCGCTGTCAAGGTATTCTCCAAGCAAGAGTATTCTGATGAAGTGATACTTTCTTTCAGACAAGAGGTTGCTTTCTTTTCTCAACCTTGGCATTTCTTTTCAAACTGAGTCCTGGTTAAATCATTTTCAGATGTTTTCTAGCCCCTCTGTTTGACATCCTTATGTCCTATTTGACACGTACTGGTAAAAATGTCCTTATGCCCCTGCCTCCTCCCCCCAAAAAATGGACAGTATGCCCCCCAATATTATAATTTATATATTTCTATTCTCATCCTCAACTGAAGCAGAAATATCTAACATGCTTGACTTGCCATGTATGTCTATAAGTTTTGCTTTCCAGCCTCCCCTCC